TTAACTTATTCCTGTCAAATTTGACAATATATGTAACAGCTTTATAATGTTACTACAGTCTTTGAGGTAAGTAGTTATTGGAAAGTGATTTTCCTTAGTGTTAAAATAATACGTCTTGTTTAAAATAAATGCTTTTCATCATTCGTCTATAGAATTATGCACAGGCCTTGTCTTGACCCGACAGTAGATGCTTAGAATTTTTACAGTCTGACACAAGGCTATAATAGTGAAGTACTCAGTAACACTGTCTGCACTAGCAAATGGTCAAAAAGATGAACTTGGTAGACCGTGGCCCAACAATAGGTTTTCTTTATAATGACACCCACAACTTATTTTATTAGAATACACTGCCAAATTATTCTCATATCACAGCTGTTTGAGGGTTTCTATAGCCCCTCTAAACTTAAAGTCAATTCAGGTTTGCTATGGTAAAAATTTTCTATCCCAAGTAAAAATCATCACAAAAATGGCAAATCATTTTGTCACCGCTTTTTTTCTCTGAAAAAAATGGATTTTTATACTTTTATAGGAGTAAAATATGACTGTTTTGTCATCATCCGAACAAAATATCAAGGAAACTTTTGATCTGAACCCTATGAAACTAGGTATTTTCTGAAAGCAAACAATATATTCTTTCATTTAAAAGTAAAATTGGTGTAAATGATTCAAAAATTTTTTTCAGGGAGTAAAACGTGAAAAAATAGTGAAAATTTTGCATTTTTTTCTAGTTCTAAAAATCAGAGAGCCTAAATCATAAACTATTTCATGCATAAAATTGAGAGTTTGACAGAAAACAACATTCCTGGGGGGGGGGGGTCAAAATGCAACAAAGTCTGTTGGTAACTTTCAATTATATAGCTGCTAGAGTTTAAAAGAAATAGACACCCAGCCAAGGAAATCTTTAGTAAAAGGTGAAAGATTTATCCACAATTCCTGACCACTGGAACCCAGTTTATAGTAGCAATAAGGAAAATTAAACCAAATTGACTTTGACATGTCTGGGTCAAAGGCCAGCCAGCCAGTGATAAATGTTGAACAAGCAGTCATCAGCTTGTAAATCCCACCACTTACAAGATAAGAGCAAAGAGTGAAAAAAAAAGAGAGGGAATATTGGTTTTTTAAAAAAAAAAATAAAAGGGAGGGGCTTGATATGGGTTATTTCTTTTCAAACCTATATTTGAACAATGGCTTGATGTGTTTTGTTTTTTAACACCTCTTGACCTGGGTGATGACAACAACACTTAACAGCCGACATTGTTTTTTTTCGCTGCATGTCTTTTGTATTTCTCATTGTCGGGTCATATAGCAATTCCTTTTATTCAATGACATTCACACCAACTTAAAGAGAAAGGATTGAAGTGAAAAAAATATTTTTTCATAAAAAAAGGTGATTTTTCTCAGAAAATTGGCCATAATTTTTTATTTCTAAACCCCGAGTGACATTTTTCAGTTAAATCAAAGATTAATTACCAGTGAATGATTCCATGTGCAAACAATAGACGTCTGGATCCTATAATATGGCCCAAAAACATCTAGAAGATTGATTGAAAACTTGTTGCACATAATTGTTTTCCAGTCAGTTTCCATTATTTGATCTTGATGTTGTCATTTTCAGACAGCCAAGTCATCAAGGATTCAGGAAAACAGTTTGGCACAGGTTTGCTTTGAGAACTTTGCATTCTATGAGGGGTTTAAAATGTTACTGACAAATGGGATTTTTCACCGAATATTTTGTTCAAGTGCTGTGTTGGATCTACCTATAAAACAAAAACAAGCATTTTAAACAGCTGTGATATATTGACTATTTGACTATAGAAATAAATAAAATTATTATAAATATAAACAAAAAGATACTCATACTTAAAAATCAGAAAGAGGTAATTGAAATTACTAGGACACATAAAGGTGTTGATATGGCAGCTCAATTCCACAATGAAATAAACAAATCACAAGTCCAAACTCTAAGATCCAGGGACAGAAAGAAATGTCAAATCCTAATATACGTAAACAGTCAGAAATCCGACACACAAGAAAAATAAAACAACTTTCCAATTTGAGAACACCAATCACTTTTAACGAGAGAACAATTTTTTCAGTGGTTGACAGTTGGGAGAGGACACACAATATTAGCATATCTGAGATGCATTTATGGCAACACCTGCAACTGACTTGTTTCTATTTTGGTTATTTTGTCCGGCATATCATACAAAACATGTGCCTTTTTTCTCAGTAAATGACTTTCTCTTTCATCAAAGAGGACTTAGAAAACTTGACACTCACAAAGCATAGCGAAGATAAAGCGGACAGGGGGAGGCAACTGGCTACCAGCCACCTACTAGATGAGTGTATGTGAAAAGGATAGTGGGAGGGATGGTAAAAAAGACAAATATTGCTAAGGGCTACAAAAAAATAGGAAGTTGTGAAAAGCTATGATTGCCCATGTCTTGAAGAGACATGGTATGTAGAAGATTATAACTGAAACCAATATTTACGATATTGTTGCACTGTTACTACTACTACTATTACTATTATTATTAGTTTTGTAATGTTATTGGAAAGACCCTCTCTGTTTCATATTGATAGAATTAAAATCATTAAACTCTGACAAATTACTCTTCTTTTCCAGCAAACCATTTAGTGGTATAATTATGAGTGAAATTCTTTGTCAGACAAGAAAATAAAGAAGGGAAATATTTGAGTAGATATATAAACTGTTTTTGATAATGAGCGTTATCTCAACTAAAAATGACAGAAGAATTTATATATGAGGGTCAGCTGGAAAGTTCATAGGCTGACCAAGATATAAATGTAAGTAGACACATCCGTTGGTAGACTAAAAGACCTGCAAGAATATCAGAATACAACCGCTGATATTCTTGCATGCATGTCTTTTAGAATATAGAGAAAATTTGTATTCTGGTATACTTGCAGTCTCCTAACTGGTGTATCTACTTATATACAGAAATGTATTGAAAGTGCTTTATTCACTAGCTTATCCACAATAAATTTGTGTCCAGGTTCTTGGAATGTTTCACCCTTGTATACACCCTCTTCCTATGATCAAAATATAGTATCTGTGAATCCTATGAAAAGTTACACACATTGCATTTCATATAATATATATGTATATGTATGTATACATACACTTTATTTTATATGAACTATGTTAAGAAAATTTGTCCTCAGTGAATTTGAACCTTTTGCTTCTTGCTGATTAATATTGGACTTTAATTTTGAAGACTGTAATATTAATCTTTTTAGTTTCTAATATAGATAACACAAACACACATAATGATAAGGAACTGAAAAGTTCTTGGACCAACCAAGAAGCCTTTCCAAAGAAATTTGGTTTTGTTAGCCATTAAGCTACTCTTAGAAATGTAGGCTTATGACGATATCATATTGAAACCACCGGTTCTTGTATGATCACTGGTTAAGCAACTTCGAGTCATTACCCAGATGAGTGACTGCTTGGGAATGCCAGGTGTTGTAAGCTTGAATGTGCAGGTGATATAATGAATAATGGCTCAGAATTGAAGATTAGAGGGCCAAGTTCCAATTCCGGTCTGGTTCATTATATTCACTTACTTGCAAATACCCTAACGAAAGGTATGAATCCACCTCTTTTCCCCCAGCTATGACTTAATTAGTAACACATGTATCATTAAATCATTATCATCTCCAAAAAATTGTTACAATGTAAAAATATATTTTGGGTTTAAATAACCTGTAAAAGGTTGATAAGTAATAAAAAAACAAATCAATAAAACCTAGAAATGTAATCTTGTGTTAGGGTTGCCCTCTCTCCACTAAAAATTAACTTGGTATAGTCAATCATGCTTGAAAAAACTTATTTTTAAATATTGTTAGGTGCCAAACCAAAAAACAATTTTTCTTTCTTCACTGTGCTTCCATACATATATAGCATGACTATTTTCATTTTCTCTTTGCATGCGAAAAGACATCATTGGTTTATTCTTTATGGAAAGTTAAGTATCATGTGACATACTCACACCCCCACCCTGTATTTTTTTTAGTTTTTTTTTTAGTTTTTTCATTCAGTAGATGACACATATTTCATACTTTTGCCTTGGATTTTATACATTTATCATGCTGTAAAATTTGAAACCACCCTTATCTTTAAATACAACTATTTCTTCTTGGCCAATTGATGTTTGAATAAAGCTTATACATTTTTAAATAAGCATTTGAAATTTATAATATCAGTTAACTTTTATTCTTATGTAAAAGATGCAAATAATTGAATCATAATTTTTCCTTTTACTCTCATATTTTTAAATTTCAGTCTTAGTAAAATTTCACTTGGTAGCTTTAAGTTTTCAATGAAGATAATTTTGCATTAATTTGCTATTAAAATCTAATTTGATTTCTTTTTAATATAAATTCTTTGGTAAAATTTAATATGCTATGAATCTTGTCCATTTAATAATTTTCACATTCAAAATATAGAATCATGCTGATAACAAAAATTAAAATTTATATACTTTTGAAATATTTAACAGGAAATTTTTTTTTTTTTTTTTAAATCTCTGAAATTGGCTCTGTTAAGATATAAAAAATAATTCAGATAGTTACATTTAGTATTTTCAGTAAATTATGGTAGTAACTATGAAGTTCTTTTTTTCATTTTAATACAGGGTTTCCAGATTGAGTTAATTAGTAGTGAAAATTTGAAAACTGACATTTGAAAAACCAGTTAGTCACTTGTCACTGATATTCAATAATTAACTCATTATAATCTTATTTCTTTTAAAAAATCTCTGTATTTTTTGATCAGTAGCAAATAGTTATGATTCCTAGTATTTGACATAGTTATTAATTAAATAATAATTTGGTATCACAAGTCCCTTGCTAAAACCTTTCTCTGTAATTCTAGGTTAGTAGCAATTTATGATTAACATAGTCCTGCTAGTCAAAGATATAAACAGTGTAATTGTTAGGACTTGGGGTAGTCTTGTTTTTATTTATTTATTTTTTCTATGGCCACATCATGTTGAAACACTAGCTTCCATACAATAACCAAAGTTAAACAGTGTTGAACCAGGCCAGTACTTTGATGGGTGACCATTTGGTAATACCATGTGCTGTAAGCTTGGATGTGCAGGTAGTGTAATGGATAATGAATGGCTCAAGTTGTTAATCAGAGAGCAGAGTTCCAATTCCAGTTGGGTTTGTTATATTCATATACGTGCAAATACTCTTAGGAAAGGCATGAATCCACCTCTTCTCTCCTTAGTTATGGATTAATTAGTAAGATTTGTATCACTAAACCATTATTTAAAAAAAAAATCTAACAATCTAAAAATATTTTCTGGCTTTAAATAACCTGCAAATAGTTGATAAGCTGTAGAAAATAATCCAATTTTTTTTCTTCTCATGAGGAATCCCAATAAGTCTAACCTATTTTAAAATGTGGTTTTAGTAATGTTGGGTTATTTTTGAAAGCCCTGTCTTAATAGCAAGCATTATGCCAATTCTGACATTTAAAAAGAAGAATGTGACTAACAACCATATCATATTAAAATATTGGTTCCCATACAATCACTGAAGTTAAGCAACATCAAGTCAGTACCTAGATGTGTGACCACTTGAGAATACCAGATGCTTTAAGCTTCAATATGCAGGTGGTGTAATGGATAATGGCTCAGAATTGTTAATCAGACAGCCTAGTTCCAATTCACATTAGGTTTGTTATATTCACTTACATGCAAATACCCTTGGGAAAGGTATGCATCCACTTCTTCCAGCTATGGATTAATTAGTAATAATTATATCAAAAAACCATTATCTTCAAAATAAAATTGCATATAAAATATTTTAAATTTTGACATTAAATAACCCATAGGGGTTGATATGCCGCTAAAAAAAATATAATAATATTTGGAAGAGAAAATTAAAGTGTATTATTGTTTATCTACAATAAATAAAGAGTGTTCCAATAACTTGGACTGATTTTAAATGTGAATTAAGTTTAAGTGTCTAATGATTTTTTTTTTTTTTTTTTTTTTCAGATTTAACAACTTAAGTCTTTGGCAATTTCAACCATGGAAAGATTAACAATCAAACATGTTAAAATTTCAAGAGTGCAATTGGAAAAATTGTTTGTAAATTCAAACAAAACTCGGTTGGTGGCAGATGTGAAAACACCTTTGTTTACGCTGTTCAGCTGAAAACATTGCTGCAGTGCACGAGAATGTGGCCGAAAATTCAGACACTTCTATTCCTCATCATGCCCAGGAATTGAACCTCTCCACAACAACATGACATCATTTCCAATTGCACTCTTGGTTGGTCGATTATGTTGACCAAAAAGATTGCGAAATGCATTTCTGTTTGAATGTCCATTTTCATAATGGGCTTCAATAACTTTAACACATTGTTTGATTGTTAATCTTTCCATGGTTGAAATTGCTAAAGACTTAAGTTGTTAAATCTGAAAGAAAAAGAAAAAAATCATTAGACACTTAAACTTAATTCACATTTAAAATCGATCCAAGTTATTGGAATACCCTTTAAAAATTTGATTAAAAAAATTAATTCTACTTACATTTATTTAGAATTTTTACCTGTTAACAATTAACTGTTGCTATGAGAATAATATTTAGCTTTTAAATTAGTTGTATTTCTTTTTATATATCATCAAATACGGTTTATAAGAAGCATTTTTATTTAGCTAACAACATATTATTGCAGTTTTTATTTTTATTTTTTTCTTATCAATTCTTAATATTAAATTAGAAATAAAACCCTCTATTTTAAATTTGTCATCAGGTTAGAATTTAGTCTTTTCTACAACTTTAACAAAATCTTTCTACCAGTATAGCTAACTTTTTTTCGAAATGCCATTGGTTATTGAAAATAAATTCATTCGTTTGTTATTATAAATATTGATAAAACTTCATTTTTGAACCATACAGTGTGAATGAAATTTAACTTTTAAGAAATTCTATTTTACTTCTAGAATATACACAAAGATTTTAAACATTAAAAATGTTTTCAAATTAGTTTAGTAAATACTAAAGATAATTTGATATTGTCTTTAAATTGTAATTATGTGAATTATTACAGCTTTACTTCAAAGATACATTTGAAATTCTGACTTCCAAATAATCAAAAATAATTTTAATGTAAAAGTTTCCATGTACATTTTGATTAATTTATAAGAAATCATTTGTCACTTTTATCTTAACAATCACAAAATACAACCATTAAATAATATTTCAGCTTTTTAATTAAAAGGAAGGAATTAATCATGAATATCATACATTTTAAAGTAAGAAAATTTGAGTTTTTTTATTTGTGTATGATAATTTGGGCTTTTTTTTTTTTTCTTAAGTTTTTTCCCTTCATTTTTAAATACTCTTCACAAATCATTCTACATTTCATAACAATATATTTTGCTTTTTTCAAGTACATTTCTTTTAAGTACTAAAAATTAGCTTGTTTTTTTTGTTTGTTTTTTGCTTTATATTAGTTTTTATATCATATTTTTGTTGCATAAAATGAAAGAAAAACTAGTAAAAAAAAAAATCAGTGAAAACTAACTTTGGTACATAGTAAATATTAAGATATTTGTGTATATAAAAGTAATGGCAGAAGCTTTACTTTGAGCCACATATTAAATCATTAGGTGTATTTACTCTATTTTCCAAATTTTTATGGCTTTAATTTGCTAAAATAGTTTATACCATTTAATTAACTTTTTTTAACTTTTAAAAAAGTTTTTTTTGTTTTTTTATAGCTTAAACAAAATTTATTTATCTGAAATAAATTTTAATTATTCAGCAGAGATTATTATTTTGCTTGGAAATTTAAAAATATTAATGTATTCAAAATTAGCTTTCCAGTTGCAATATGGAAAAGTGAAATCTTATTATTTATGGTTGCGATTGAAGTATTAATCTAAATTGATTATTTTTCTCCTTTTCTTTTTTTGTTCATGGTCTGCAAAATAATGCAAATTTATAAATATGATTACTAAGTCAAACATTTTTGTGAGCTTTTTCTTATTAAATATAAAAAAAATATGATTTTAAATCTATAAGCATCAGTGACTGGCTGATGTACCTTCTGCCATTTTTTTACAATCTTTAGTCTACATAAAAATATTAACAACTTCAAAATTTTAAGTCATCTTGAGCTAAATAGGTATAGTAATTAAAAGTTTTTTTTTCTTTACTTAAAATTATTTAATTAGTTTAATAAACTATTGTTCTTATTTCTTGTATTGACTTATTTCTTACTCTGTTAAAGTACAAATGCTTTAATGTTGCTAAATTGAAATACTTTGAAATGTCTGTAATTAAAACGAGTACCTTTTATGATTATTTCTTTAAGTAAACCTGTTGATTTAATTTGAAATCAATGTCTTTATGTACCTCACAGTTGTTGTAAATTTCTTTCAATGTTATGTTTGAATATAAATTTGATACCTTACAAAAAATAAAATCAAAATATTGAATATGTCTCTAAAAGCAGCCATCCCCCAACATTCACTGTATGAGGTAACCATCTTAATTATGTGTATTCTATTTGTGGTGTAACATAAATTATCAGTTATGATAATTGTTAATGATTAGATATCAAAATAGTTAATCCAATATTAAATTAATGTGGATACTAAATGTTTGTAAATTTGTAAACTAGTTGTCTAAAAAGGATCTTTTTCACCGATCATCTATAAGTTGCTTCACTTTTATTTGTAAGATGATAATTCTCAAGTCTGGTTTGTTACTTTTGTCAGTAAAATATTTGTTTTCATAACTGCAATGTTAAACTATTGAGGTCAAATGTTTCTTTTCCTTCCAAAGTATCATATTTGATGGCATATCAAACACTCTTCTTACTCCCCCCCCCCAATATACCCTAGATCTCAAAGTTGTGATATCTGCCAGACTGATATTTACCTAGACATTGTAGACTATTATTGTACCTAAGTTTATCCTATAATACAGTAATATTAGATGTAAATGGGGGTGAGGTAATACCATCCACCCACCTCACAAAAAGCATGTAGAAAATTTTATTCATGTAAGAAGAAAAAAAAATATAGGTTTGATTATTTGTCTTATACATAATTGAAATAGACAAATTGTCTGGTAGATTTTTTTTTTTTTTTTTTTTTCAGTTACATTTAAAAAATACATAATCCTATTAAATGAATTTATTTTAATTTTAAAAATTTCTTATATAAACTGGTTATTGCTTCCTGAGAAATTATAGATCTTTTATATAAGAAAATTTTAAAAATATACATTTATACAATCGACATACAAATGAAACTTATTAATTTCCATTTTTATTTTGGTTTGTTGATAGATTAATTTTTAATTTTGTAGAAAGATTTTTTTTCATTTTCTGAGAAATGGGAATATGTGTTACCTTAGTTATTGTTGAATTGGAAATCATATTTAACATTTTAAAAATTTCTTGTTTATGTTCTAAAAAGTTAAATGTTGAGAAACAAAAAATAAATAAAACTTAATCTTGTTCAGAATATAAATTGGTATAGATATAGCAATAACAATTGTGTGCAAAAGTTTGCAACTATTTTATTTATAAAAAATAAATTCTACTGTATTCACTCTTTTCTTTATCAAAAAAAGGTGGCTGCAAACATTTGCACACGTCTAATAATTATTTTATTTAATTTTTTTTTTATATTTCTCTTTAATTGAAATTACTTTGAGGTTTCAGTTTTCTTTGTTTGTATTGAGTTCTACAATTATAGATATAGTGTTCATATGAAAAGCATGTACTTACCAATGTTGTTTTGTTTTCTATGTGTATTTTTGTCATGTTCTGGTTTTATTAGTCATCAAATTTTTGTTTGTTTCTGTTACAGATTGCAACCAAATTAATTTATATTGTAGTGCTTTTTTTAATACTAAGCTGATGACACAATAACTAAGGTAGTGGCAGTAGTAGTGACTGATGCCAATGATAACAATTTAAGGCAACAAGATACTAAGATGGCACTATTAATACTACTCTTATCTAGTAACTTGATAAGTTATTTTTATGTTTCTGAAGTATTTTTTCTGGTTTTTATATATAAATGGAAGAATAGTTCAATTTTAGGTTTTGAAACT